GATCAGGTCACACCCCGCCCAAATATATCGAAAGCTAACATATCAGCCATTCAGGAATGCGCTGCTAAGACAGATTAGTTTGTAGATAATAGCTTATCAGTTGAAGAAGTATGGTCTGTATTTAAAGGTAAGTTTAGCTTAGTTACGTCCTCGTTCATACCATACCTGATACCGCGAAGACCGAACAATAGTCCACCATGGATAACCAAACCAGTTAAGAAACTTCTTAGAAGAAGGAAGAAGCACTGGAATACAATCATCTCTACTATCTTAGAACAACACGGATCCAGTTATTGTAAGGTTATGAACGCTTGTAAAGCGTTAATAAGTAAAACTAAACAGTCATATGAAAAACAGTTGGCTAGGAAGTGTAAAAATAGTCCAATACGGTTATTCTCATATATAAAAAAGCGAACTCAGTGAAGTGATGGAATTCCATCACTTTTGGTACAAGTAAATCTGATAATCTTGTCATAAAATGATACTGAAAAAGCTGAAGCTTTATCGGAATATTTCAGTAAAGTGTTTTCTATCAGTAATGAGAAACGACCAACGGTTCATTGTAATCGTGGCGGCTCGCTGATGGATCCTGTGGTCATTGACAATGGTACTTTTTTAAGGTTACTTTAGCATCTCAAACCTGATAAGTCCAGTGGTCCTGATAATATTTATCCTAGGATTATGAAAGCCGTATCAGATGTAAGTGCTGAACCATTAGCGATACAGCTCGACATGTCTCTGAAGCAGTCCAGACTGCCCAGAGACTGAAAAGACGCTATAATAAGTCCGGTGTATAAGGCTGGGAGTAGGGATTCAGTTAGTAACTATAGACCTGTTAGCTTAACTAGTGCAGTTGTAAAACTGATGGAAAAAATCATTCGTATATCTGTTATAAATTATGTTGAAAGGCATAATCTTTTCTCCGAGGAACAACATGGTTTTCGGAGAGGCCTACCGTGCTTGACAAATCTTCTCATTGCAAGAGAAGATTGGGCTGCTGCAAAAGATCAGAATATTCCTGTAGATGTGATCTTCATAGTTCTAAGTAAGACTTTCGATAAGGTCTCCCTTTCTGGTCTTAAACTCAAACTGGAACTCTTCGGAATCCATTATACAGTCGTAGATTGGATAAGTAACTTTCTCCATGACAGAAGACAAAGGGTAAAGGTTAATGTGACTCTTTTCTCGTGGGTACCTGTAAAAAATGGAGTTCCCCAAGGTACGATCCTCGGTCCTCTTCTGTTTTTACTTTATGTAAATGAATTACCAACTGTATCAAAATCATCAGTTCTACTATTCGCTGATGACATAAAAATTTGTAGACCCATGCACAGTATTTCGGATAGGATAGTATTGCAGAACGATCTTAGCTCATTGGTATAATGGTTGGACAGGTGGTCACTTGAAGTAAATCCTAATATGAGTGTGGTGATGCAATTAAATAAATATGATGAATCATATAACTATACAATACGTGGATTCGTATTACTTAAAGTAAGAAACTATAAAGATTTGGGAGCTATATTAAGTAGCGATCTCAAAACCACTAGTCACTGTAAGGCTGCTGCTGCGAAGGGCTATAAGGTATTATGGTCTATTCGTAGGTCTTTCCAGTATTTAGATGATGAAATGTTTAGATTACTATTCCCGATTTATGTGCGACCACATTTAGAATATGGGATTCAAACAGCGGGTCCTTGTTTGAAGTATGAAGCAGATATGCTTAAGCGAGTCCAATGACGAGGTACTAAGATGATAGAGGGTCTATTTGGCCTATCTTATGAAGACAGATTGAGACACTTCAACTTATTTCCGTTATCTTACCGTCGAATACGGGCTGATCTAATATTGGCTTATCGTATACTGAACGATGACCTTGGTATTAACATGTCCTATCTTTTACTTCCGTCTAGGACTGATCGTTTGGGAGGACACTCGAAAAAAGTTCAAAAACCGAGATCAATTCGTTTACGTCTGGAGTTTTGATTCTCTTATCGAGTAGTGAATTATTGGAATTTTCCAGCGGAACACGTAATATCAGCACTTTTTGTTGGTATATTCAAAATGAGATTGGACCTCCACAGTATTACAAACTGCAAGGATTAATACAAGTCGATAGACCTCCTGTCCTTATTACTGAAGACTGAGTTAAGCTAGACTGACCTTGAGTGTCCTCTTAATATCTAGGACCAAGCGAGGGTTTTGAACATGTGTGATAAATTAGAACTAGGTTTCACGGTTGATGTATAAGGTTAGGAATTAGATTTTGAGTTTTCATCACGAATTGACATCAGCTATCGTGCCAAAACTATTTAACTAAATTGTATGAGTGAATTTCGCGCCAATATACGAGGCCTATTATCACATACCTTATTGGTTCACCCGTAAATTATAGTCTCGCCGACCGTGTAATAGTCAAGATTAATCAGTAATTAGAATTGAGAGGTATAATCCAAAGGACGTTTACGTAGCGGTACTCAGTAGCCCCACATGGTCACGCGTATATGCCCCAGCTCCCGATTTCGGAGAAGCCGCTACGGTAAACTTGGGGAAAATAGCACAAAAACCCCAAAATTTCTCCAGACCTGGGGAAATTCCCTTTTAACCTTGGTGAGGGTCATTTGACTTCGGGAGTTTCCTTAAAGTTGGTAGCTCGGGTAGCCTCTGCCCGGGAAGTACTTCTCCACAGTCAACTATTAGAGGGGAAAATGTATTGAAAAATAAGAGAGAAACGCGTCAAAATGTCTGTCCAGAGGTAATAATGCGGATTTCCCCCTTTTTGTTGCTCAGTCTCTCAAATGTCTACTTTTCGCCTAAATATCCTCTGAATCGTCCACTTTCGCCTAGATATAAGCTGAATTGTCTATTTTTGCCTAGATATACGCTGAATTGTCTACTTTTTGCCTAAATAAACCTGAAATCTCTACTTCTGCTCCAACTTTTAAAACACCATTGGCATAACCTCGAAGATCTCCTATGTTTGCCTTTATTACCACAACAAACCACACTAAAACTGCAATCCACGGGAAAAATGGTATAGGTTTAAATAAATTTATTGAAAAGGAAAACCGTATTATTATACAACATTATAGCAGAAGCTTAAGCATCAATCGTTGTACATTTTCATTGTGATTGCCAATTCATCGTTATTTGAAAAGATCTGTAAAAGAACAAACAGATGATATATTATTAATAAGGCATGCGTATTTAATTGCAAGTTCGCTGAAAATCAAATACATTTCCTCAACACTTAAATAGTTTCCCATGTAAGTAAGAAAGTAAGCCCACTTTCAAAATAATGTTTATTGAAAAATAAGTTGAACATAAAAAACATTCCACGGATTACTTCCATCAGCCACGCTTTTTCGGCTATTGAGAATAGAAATAATCTTCTTGTGAATTCTGAAGTGTAAAGAACAAAAGAAGTTACAACGATACCTGAATGACATGCTTAGGCACAGCTAGATACGTGAAGCTTAACTTACGGTTATGTTCGTTAACACTATGGACTGTAACTATAGATTATTAGGGAAGTTATCACTTTAAATTATTACACATCTGTTCTTGTTTCCTTCAATTACGCTTTACCAATTCGTCTCTGACGTCATTAAAATAACCTTGCGCCGCGATATCATACAGCTTTTCGAGGTCTTTTTCGTTGACAGATGAAAAAGCGATTTGTTAATGCACTTGAAGTTTAGATAATAGATATAGGTTAATTCATATACAGCCATAAAACCGGCACTTTTGAAGTGCTCCCATTTGACTGGTCTCGGTCTCTAATCGTTTCGGTTTATAAGAAAAGACGCCTCCAAATACTCTGGTACGGCAGAGAGTGAGAAGAGTCCGCTCACCCTCTAGAAATGCTCTCATATGGTCATGCGTATATAGCCTCTGCCAGTGAATTCCTACTAACTACCTTCTCGTGGCAGGAGTGTTCTTTACAAAATTGAGAGGACGAAAAGCCAATGTCTGGCGCTCTAACCGGGTTGGTGGACATGGAGAGTCCACCCAGGTGAGTTGGAAAACCCTGATCCCAAACCAATGGTGCATATGGGCTCCAGTATCCTGAGGGAACAGCCAGTCAGTCAGTCAGCTGCTACGCAGGATCAGGCACATATATGCATTGGTCCAAGTTGCCATACCGCATTAGCACAACAAGATGAACACCGGATTCATAGAAGTAGTCACATCAAGGATAGTAGTATATAAAAGAAAGATTGTGTATAAGGATATATTACAGGAAGAAAGAATTGGTTCGTAGAAAGAAAGACATGGAGCAATTTTAATCTCTTAGTTTCAAGGAAGACAGAGAGTGTATGCACAGACGCCATTGTAATCGATTCTAGGCCATGTCACCTGAGGGAACAAAAGGCGTATGAACCAAGTGTTGATCACCGGGTACCATGGGACTGCGTCTCCTTAAGATGCTCCATTGCCTTGCGGATCAGACCTTTAGGTCGAAGGCTCCGGGTATTGCCCCCTACGAAAACCACCTGCTTCGGTTTGAGCACCCAGGCAGTATCACATCCCTCACACAGACCAAATGAGATTCGTGTGGCTCACATGTATTTGGTGCCTCCTTGCACCACTATCTATGTGTTCAAATAATAACAAATAATAATAAGTATACTACGTAGTATACTGGCTACCTAGTACCACTATTCTCCAAGATCTTACGGAACTTTCCATTTTATATCAATAGGTTGGTTTTATGTTGTCTCGTGTACAACCAAAATTACAGAAAATCGTTGTGTTAAGACCAAATAATTCTGTTTTGACGGAGTGCAGTTATGCTGTGTTGACAGTATTTAACACAAAACATTATGGGGGGGGGAGTTGCTTGAGCCAGTTCCAGACTACTATGTTCTCTAGTAGTTATGTTTTTATTTACATGCTTATTTCTCACACTTTTGGTATTTTAGTATCAAAGGATCTTCTTTGTTCTATGGGCCTCAGCCAACTAAGTGTTCTGTAAGAAGTCCTTACTTTCCCGCCATAAATGAAGCTTAGTAGCTTCCCGCCGTCATCAGGAGTCGCTGTTCAGGTGAGATCACAACTTTCCTTACTAGTTGTTACTTAATAATTAGATGCAGCCAGCTCGTAAATATCTTTTCTATTCACAGGATCTCCCAAAGAAATATTATTTGAGGCCAGCATGTATGGGAATTTAAATGAATTATTTAGATACAGTCCGTGGTTTTCATTGGAGATTAGTTACTTCCACACTATAACTATAGTTAATACTAAACCTTCTGCTCATCATTACGACATCCATCCCTGAACCGTGTAATCTACCAAGGATATTTAATCTCATTTACTCGAAAAATATTTCGAGTAAATGAACTTGAAGGTTGAGTGACTGTTAACAGTCACTCAAACTTCAAGTTCATTAATATCAACGAGTTTACATGTTTTTATTATTGTTACACGTTAAATTCCCAATCCTTACTATCCCTGATGCTTACTACACTTACCACTTGAGTATTTGTCTTGATAATTCCATTCTACTTTGCTGATATTGCGTGGCAACTTTATAAAATTAGTTATAACCATCAGACATGTCAGGTTCTACATTGCTTGTAACTAACTAGATGAGATAACATCCCAGAAGTATGTTGCAAGCACCGATTAAGATGATATGATATTTATTTTAATCTGATACATATTCTGGTACAACTGGGGACCCAAAAAAGTATCCTTCACACAAATAAAGATGCGCTATCAAGGTATACATGATGGAAGCGCAGTGCGGTCAAAAAATAAACAGTAAAACAAGTGTGTAATAGGAGATACAGCTGAATTATAAATGCAACCAAAAAGACCCTTCGGTTGAGTAGGTTCTATTGCCCCGTCTTTCAGAGCTGCTTCCAGAATGTCATCAATAACAAGCTGAAGAATAAAGCGGATCGGGCAGGACTATCCGATCTCACTTATGAATTAAAACGATTAAGAGGTGATTGTACGCCCTTACTTTGCTTAAGTTGTTTGTGCACGGAGTATTCTAAATGTTGTCAAACTTCTCAGACACCTCTTCAACACACAATTACGGAGCAGTTCTGTTCAATAAATAGAAAACACCTGATATCAATAAGCACGGCAGTTGTTAGCCTTAAGCGTGATGGTCAATAAATCCACGACCTAGTCGAAAATAACCTACTCCTCATGAGTCAATCTTCCACAGGCTCTGAACAATCTGAAAAGTATAACGGAAGCCAGTAATATGGGTACGATTGAGAGTGAACTTATCCCACACTAGTCGTTACATGGATTATACAGACCATAAAGATAGAGACGACGGTCGTTTTATTTCATGATTTGAAAAACTCAGACTTTTTAAAACAATCTTGTTAGCTCCCTGACCAAAAATTCGCTACTTCCCTCTGAAAGGGCCGGGAGTAGGTCGTTTGGTCTAAATTAACTCGTGACAGAAACGTCTCAAATCGACAGGTGGTGATTAAATCTAGAGTATCCTCCCCAGAATGTCAGAGATGTAGTGTACGAAATCATGGATTTCTAGAAGTAAAAATTGAAGGCAATTAGTCCTTCCTTATTTTTAGAGAATATTTCTCATGATTTTGATATAATTTTTTAGTGTAAATCGGTGAACACTAGTGAATATCGATCGAGTATTTTAAGCATATACTGGCTTTCGATCTATGATCAGGTCATCAAGACTAGCTAGTCACGTGTTGCGTCTACAGTACTGCCATTCTACTTCAATATAAACATAAATACCTGCTAATCTTTGGTGAGCATTTCTCATATAGTAGGTGTTAAAGACGTCAAATATTGTTGAGGCTCCTCAAGGACATGTACGAAACCACATTTCGTCAACTTTTTTTCGATAGTTCAGGTGGATTGATTTGTCTCAGGGAATAAATATTCTGGAGTGTCTCTTTGGAACGGAATTGCTTGTTGGGATCGATAATCTTCATTTAGATCATTGAGTTGGGTTGGTCAGTCAAGTTTTTGTTGCGATAAAGATCCGTGAGCAAAGTATAAAGAGAAACGACCACTAGTCGGTTCGAGTCATATGAAACCTACAGATCGACTTTTAAGTAGTTATTATTGTGTTTATATTACCATTTTAGTTCATCATATGTTTTAAAAATATTGTCATAACTACTCGAGCGAGTAACTTTTTGATGTCGCAAACATTTTTACGAAGATGCTTCTACAATTATTTGTTAGTTTTTTTATTTTTTGTTCACAGCCTAATGTACGATGTTTAGTCGGGTTGTATGGTTCTCTTAAGGATTCCAGCTTTGAAAACCTCAGTCGACTAGTAGAAGAAGATCGAGATGAACAAGAGATTTTGCGATATGCGATAAGTCACGAAGAGTCTGATGAGGTTCGATTTTTAGTTGGATCTCAGTCTCTGAAGCCACAAGGTAGTCAGGCAAGTTTTACATCCCTTAAAATCTGCACTTGAAATATATATATATATAGTATCACTACACAACATTATTTGTTTCGTCCAATAATGAATTAAGAGGTTTGGTGCAACAGAGCATTAAAAGTGTGTCATACTAAGAGAAATGATGATATTGCACATAAACGAAAGTAAAAAGAGTCCTGTAATCAAATAAGTTAACAACGAGAGTATTTAGTTCCAAATACAACTTAACTGAAAATGCAATCAAGATAAATTCTTATTTAATGAGGCTCATCATATCGGGCACAGAGTAGAGTCGCTTGGGTGGTCAGTGGGTACTCAATGATCACAAGTCAGATAATGGTGACTGTCTTCAGCTCCTTTTCATGGGCCATTACCATTTTTTACCCATTACCAACTTCCAGCACATTCATAACCGGTGTCACCTGACATCCTCGTACTGAAACTCAAGTTTAGACTCAGACTGGTCACATCAAGATCAGCTAACACTGACGTGCTTGTGCAAGAGACTCGCTCTTTTTAGAGTGCCTATCTGAACTGTAATCATGCTGTGGCTTTCTCCAAGCTCATCTTGCCTGTCGGTGGACAGAAAATGTTCTAGACGGATCGATATAAGAAACCCATCTGCCTCAGTTTTGGCATCCAGGCTGTGTCTCAACCCTCAATCAAATAACAATAATTACCAGTGAAGATAACGAACCACCCACTTCCCTAGTTATAGAAGTTATAACTTATTTTGCACTTATTTTATTACTTGCAAATTCGATTTATTTCACTTTGACTTTCAATTTCGTTTTATTTCTTTATTGTACATTTCTTATCATTATTTGGATCTTTAAAAAACTTAGCAGCTCATTTTCGTTAAGAATTCTATCTTGTTTAAACGGTGTTCAGTCGTTGAGTGGTTGATAAATACTGTTGTCTAATTGGACATCATTGTGATAAATGCGGCTCCAAGTCCAGACTAAAAATTGACCATTGCAGTCTTATTTTGGTATTAAACCAATCATATACTGAGTGGTATGAATTATCTGGCGTAGTACCTAGTTATTAAAGAAACATGTGTATTCACTATATTTACTTTCCATGGAATTCTGATTTCAAAGAATGTCTAGCAATTGGTCATTTATTCGCTTGTATATTTATTTAATTGGTCATCTTCGTAAAGAATTCAGTAAATTGTATGTAAACCACCCACTTCATTTATTATCAGTTCATCGAGATTTTGATTACGCTTGTTTTCTTTCCACATTTTTTGCTAGATCACTTTGGTAACACTTGTGGAGTCATTAGATATCGACTTAAAAAAACAGACTTTTGCACATCCGAATGGAGAGGTTACTTCATTGGTTACACTGGCATCTAAACCAGATTGCTTTATATCAGTGTCAGCATCGTGTAAGTTTTGTTAGCATACGGAATTTCTTATACGGATACTTGTTTTGAAGATTTTTTTATTAGTGACTGACTCATAATAAAGCTTATACCGACAGACCTCTTAATTATACCCTCAATTCCAACAATAATACTGGTGTACGTTTCTCAGTTTACCGGCATGATAGATGAATAACTAAAGAAGGATAAGCCGATAGGTATTTACTATTGTTATATGGAATTAGGCACAAATATGTACCGTTATTGTTAGGACAGCTTGCAAGTAGGATGTTTTTTTGAAGTTACAAGTAGTTTCACACTCATTCATTAGAATCTGATGATTTTTCATCACACACAAAACTAATGGTTGAAGTTTACATTAGAAGCATGTTATCACGGAAGTGGACTGCTTTCTATGTTCAATTTAATCGAAACAGCTTTTCATATTTAACAAAGGTATTAATATTTTGTTGAATGAGCCTTTAAAATCTGAGGCTTCGATTCAAGTTTTTGTTATTGAGAACTCTTTCGTTCTGATAGACTAAAATCCATCAACTATTAAAACATTTCATATATTTATCGACTTGAAGCCGCCCTTCCAAACAAAACTTCGGGTTGAAATGATTGTTTTTAGATACTATTCTTTATTTCCTTTATTAAAATATGGACCCACAGTTAAGCAGTTCTACATCAAAAGAATAATAGGTCAGGATATTTTTTATTGTAGTGTAAACGGAATAGAGAATTATACTACGAAATGCATCACTTAAAAATGATCTATTGCTTTCAAAGTTATAAACGAAGGTCAGAAAGAGAGCTCAGTGAAATGCAACTATGTTAATTTTTCATCTTTAGTGCTTGTGTTTGATGTCTTATCGTTTATTGGCTAAATGACGACTTGGTCGCCCGGTTACCTTCTTTCTTTTTATCTTTTGCATTTGACTTTCAATCTTTTGACCCCAAGTTCGAACTCTGCTGTGTTTACTTCGATTTGCGTAACCTCATAAACCTCATAAAAAAATTGAGTAGTAGAATCCAGTTACAAAGTTGCATGACATTACTGATGAATATGAGTGATAACTTGGTACCGACTCATATGCATGAGTTCAAACATTTAGCAGAAATAAACATCGTTTCGGTCTTAAAAGTTTTTCGTTTTTTGTATATTCCTGTTGTTGGTATTCAGGACCGCACCTGATTAGTGGCTGTTAGCAAATAAAATCCTCGAGCGGATCCCTCGATATTTCATGTAGCCATAAGTTAGAGATATTTTTGGAACTCAACTTTCAGTTCAATACACGTGCCTCCTATTTTGAACATTCGATAGGTCTGTATTAATTGCACCCGTACGTAGTTTTATTTTTGGTGCAATATATGCAAATAACATCCACCCAGATGTTCAATAAATGAAAATAGAATCTAGTTTAAAATATCAGATATAGTCACCAAAATATCCACGTAAATTTAGCTAATAAAGATCAAGTGTTTCATTGCGCATTAAAAAAACATACCATAAATAATTGCTATCAACTAACACGAAACTGAACATGTAGAATTGAATCACTGAACCATATGGTTAAGGTAACCATTTTTATTATATATATCATACTGTCTGTCACAAGAATATTCTACCTTTGCTTTGTTTATATTACTTAGATTCAAATGAGCGACCAGAACTTCGTAATGGTGCTCGACTTTGGAGAATACCTAATCATAACGAAAATTTATTAGACGATGCTATGATTGAATCAAATCTATCAAAATCACCAATAGATAACAATAATTCATCTACAGCGAATAATTCATTGGATTATGTAACTACACTACCATTAGATAAATATCATAGCATCAAAAGGTAAATATTTTCTGTTTTGTGTAACGAAAACTAATCACTTTTATGATATTGAATGCATGGGTTTATATTATTATTAAATCGTAATTATAAACTAATTTTGTAACCCTATCTATCTGAAATAGGAAATTATGAGCGGTTCTAGGATTATTTAATTGAATCATTGAAAAAAACTTACGTGAAATCAATGCCTGTGAATTTCGCGCTACTAACTTACGTGCGAACTAAGTTACCATACATCTGGTATGGACATTTTTCAATTAAAGTTATTCTAATTAATTTTTATCAGTAATATCCTTCGTCTTTACCATCTGGGGATAAATTTTTGCTATATACTTATTTAAGTAAAGATATGTAGTGGCTAGCAGTGGGATTCAGTATACCTACTTCTTTCTATTTGGGACTCGTCGACTGGATGAACCTGCATCACGGTGTTGATGTTCACACAGTGATGAGTTTAGTACTGTCCAGTTTGAACGTCTGACACGTTACTAGCTAAACTATTTAGTCTAGATAGCCACCGGTTTGTACAACAGGAATGAATCTTACTGTTTATCCGTAATTGTTGGAATCTTCCAGTTTTTAATGTTAAGGATTGGATTTCGATCAGTCATATCATGATGCTATATCCAGGAAAACATACTATCATTAGACTATGGATTTCATATAGTGATTAGACTAAAACGATTTGATTACAAGTGGATTGTCTATTATAATTTGAGTAAAGTGTAGGATTGGAAGGTCGCAGGTTGGAATATGATGGTGAATTGCAGAGTTCCTAAACACATGGTACATCCAGTTAAATTTGTATGACACTTCGCTGAACATTACTGAAGTCAATCTAGCCCATGCGCACTAGCGATTTTTTTTTGATGGAGTTTTATTCTCTGAGCTGGATGGTTTGGTTATGGAGCTTTCATCGTTCTTCTGAACGACATCATCAGCACAAACTTCAGATAGAAGTGAAGTGTTCGAATTTCTCCATATGCGTTTCACAGCTTGTTCTGTACACCTCGATGTGGATTGGTTCTCATTGACTTAAATTTGTCATTGTTTACTTTTTTGTTTTGATTGTGTCTCCTATTGGTTTGATTCTTGTTCCTATATTTGTGCATAATTTCCCCGATTGGTTGATAAATTGCATCGATTTCAATGTGTTTGTTGATTGACCTGAGTGTCAGGCTTCTAAAAAGTCTCTTGTGTTTTCGGGATTTCCTCTGTCCAAGATTTCCACATTTTTCCAATCGAATGTGTGTCCGCAGTTGTCCACGTGTATTGATATAAGTGAGGAGATATCATGCCGTTTGACTGCTAATTGATGTTCATGTAGGCGAAGGTGAAGGGGGCGTCCGCTTTGTCCGATGTAGTGTTTGTCGCAGTTGACACAATTTATTTTGTAGATGATGTTTGATTTATTTTCTTTTGTTATTTCATCCTATGCAAACCAAAGGATGAACCATCCAGCTCAGAGAATAAAACTCCATCAAAAAAAAAAATCGCTAGTGCGCATGGGCTAGATTGACTTCAGTAATGTTCAGCGAAGTGTCATACAAATTTAACTGGATGTACCATGTGCTTAGGAACTCTGCAATTCACCATCATATTCCAACCTGCGACCTTCCAATCCTACACTTTACTCAAATTATAATAGACAATCCACTTGTAATCAAATCGTTTTAGTCTAATCACTATATGAAATCCATAGTCTAATGATAGTATGTTTTCCTGGATATAGCATCATGATATGATTTTACTTTCTGCAGGATATTTTAAATATAATTTGATATCTATGATGGTATCAAATTGATAACTCTTCTATGACTATATTATCCTCGCTATTCTTACTCTTCATTTGGCTTAAAGACAGAAATATCAAAATTTCTGCAACAGTTGTTGGGTTGTTCATCCTCCTTTCATTGGTATTAGGATTTATCAATCATCCTAGCTAACAAAACACCATCCAATATAATTGTGCGCTATCTTTCATCATATGAGATAATACTCTACTAAACCATTGACGTTATACTTTCATTTTCCCAGGTGGTCTGATAACTGATCGAGTAGTCAATTGTTTCCCTCTCCCAGTACTGGTTAGCTTACGTTATAACAAACAGTAATGAATAACTTTTGGAAGTTTGAATGTCATTTGTAAGACCGCCACATGATACCATCAGCGATTGAAACTTCGTCGGCCGCCAGTTAGGTTAACGACTTAGCTGGGATAGTAACAAACAGTTTATTTGTAGATTGCTATCTTAACCTTGATTTCGCTCAATACGATTATTATTTCTGATTATTACAAGGATTCACTTTCAAACACCATTCTAGTCTGGCGGTTGACTCAAGTGTCTTATAACTTTTTAAAATGTTTTTAGTCTACTTGTATGCGAGGTCTTTTAAAAGTTTCTTCATTTTTTTAATTTATAGGATTACATCACATCCGTCTAGTACGTGCTGTGATTTAGCCTGTGTTGTCGGACCACCTATTGAAATGCCTGGGTAAGTAGTTTTTTTACTATTGATGTATTTTATCTTGTCGTCATTTGCTTTATGAATCTTTATACCAATTTAATTCCCTATATTTGTTACCAACAGAGGTTAGTGAACACACAGTTTCACGGATTGAATGAAGTTTAAAATGGTAATCATTAAATATCAGCTCAGTGATCTAAATGCAATATCATTATTACAAGCCTGAGCTTTCTAGGTTTGGCCCATTGCAATGTAATATGTAGCACATAATAAGTCTAATACTAGGGCGAAATAGCTGTCCAGTGCCGTTGGTTTTCCGTGGTTGTTGAATCATATGTAGCCCATGATATAAACTTTTTAAATTGTATGATCTCCACAAACTTTTCATTATAGACTATTTTGTTTATTTTATATATTTCCTACAATATATTTACAGTTCAGCTGCTTATTCTTCCCTCGTAACCACTGCAACGACAAGCTATTTAGTCATACTTCAAACTCCATCATATTCAAATTCTAGTGATTATCAAATCAGTACAAGTGTACAGTTATATTTACCACCTTCATCTCCAAGTGATAGCTTACGTACAAATATAAAGTCATCAACTGGTTGTTTATCGACTACTGCATCACCTAACGCTATTCGTTGGTCTCCACATGAACATTCAAATCAACTTGCGATAGCTTTTGATAATGGTATATTAGGATGGGATGTTCGATGTATGAAGTAAGTTAATCTCGTTTATTGATTCCAGCGATCCATTATTGCCTCATTTATTTAACTTAGATGTGTTTAGTTGAGAATTTGAAAGGTAAAGATGTGTAAACTAGTGATGTATAAGAATACGCCAGTCACTGACCAGTTCATCAAAAGTATAAACCATGGGCTAAATTTTATATTTGTCCAAAGCTTCATAATTGAAATGATTGTGTAACTTGTAATTCAAGTGTGATATTAGACATGGACCGAAAGTGTACTTAAGTCTCAGTTAAGTCAAAAAACTAGACGTCTGATCTATTTTCATATCGAAACGGTGAATGTTAGTGACTATTTTAAGAAGAAATTGTTGATCATATCATTCCAGATATTTTGTATTTATAATATGTGTTTATAAGAACAACCAGTCAGTAGTTAAAAAAATAATATACTGTGTAAAAATGTTCTGTTTCCTAAAAGGCCTAGTTTCTGGATGGAAAATGCCCATTGGCCATGTGTTAGAGATATTGATTACAATCCTCATCGTCCTAATCTGTTAGTATCTGGTGGAGATGATGGAATCATGAGACTTTGGGATCTTCGCTATTTACGCACAAGATATCGCTGTCTGTCCACCACTGCCGCTGTTTCAGTAAAAAACACAGCTATTTCAAATGCATCTGAAAGAATTATGCAATACGGCACGGAACCAACTGTTCAGCCTTTGTTCTCAATCGCATCTCACTCTCATTGGGTTGGTTTCTTTTTCGATGTTCCACTTCTAGCACGTATTTCGAAGTCAATTTAATGACACGTATTTCTATTTTGTTGAGAGTGTGTAAAATTCATCAGCTTTCAAAGCTTATTTCGGAATTAAGGCTTTAACAATAAACGCATCAATCTCGCAATACGCGTTTATTACCACTGCAAGTTAACCAAAAAAGGAAGGTACAAGTATATTATACTGATGACCTTGGTCGACTTACCAGCCAATCAGGAACCACTGTGTGGCTACAAAACAGCCAATAATAAAAAGCAGTGGAATAATGGTTTTGATACAACTGATTGACTCATACATGTCAAATTTTAAATTGTGGTTAAGTTAGAATCATGCATTCGGATTATTAGTTAAGGTTAATGTTTTTATCACTAACTGACATCAGCTATAATGAGATAATACTTTTGAACATTGTTGTTTACTTGAGAGTTGATATTTGCAAGTCAGGGATTAAAGTGGAAAAATACTATCCAACTGCTTAAACACCGCTGACTGTGCGTTGATCCATACCAAGCAATTTAACACAATATCTGCATAAAGAACAGGTATTCCTTGTAATTTAACTTAAGTACCGTATCATCTTCACGGTGTGTGGTAGATATTTCAATCAAAACCAAACATTTTAGAAACCTTATATGATCAATTTTCATTTAGTCAAGAATAATATGCAAGCTATTTTACAACACGCTTTTAATTTCGCTCAAAATCCATGGGACGCTATCTTAATTCTGACTGTTTATTTTAAGGCCATCAATATAGTATACATTTACCACAAACAATTGGTTTGCATGTAACCACTATACATGCTAATACTATCCTGACACTAATTTTATTATTTTGTTTCCATTCACTACCTTTACATTTGACTCATGTTTACGAGATAACATGAAACCCACAATAATCCAAAATAGCATATTGAGAAATACATGTTGGGAAAAAATTTAAATAAATTGGAATCAGTCGATTGTAATTTATTGTTAGAAATATTTTCACAATTGATTTATAAATGTTATAGATGGATGTTATACACATTAACACCAACCATACTTTTTAAAATCATCGGTCTAGAATTCTTCAGACAATCCAGACTAGTGCTCATTAGCTTTGTTATTTAGTTTAATGTCTTGGGAATGTTTCCGTTCATTTCTTACTGCACCCATTATCGTACGTCCCCATAGATAATGCCTGGTCACATAAACATTATTTCTCGATTATTTCGGACGATATAGACCCATAATCACAAATATTAGTTTATCTTTCGTGCCAAGAATCATGATTCATCTATCTCTCAGTTACTAGCTCCCATTAAAACTGAGTGATATCTCGGAAGCATTGATGGTTAAATCATAATTTTAATATTTTTATGGTGTCCAATGTATCAAAAAGTATCTCATGGTTTGGTAGAAAACAATACTCCATCATCCACTCAGTGGTTACATGATAAGTAGTGTGTGTTTATAAATGCCCGCTAATCTTTTAATATCAATAAACTGTGTCTGAGTGCTGATAATAAAATTACTCGTATTTCGAAATCTATGTTGAAAAAAAGCAATTATTTTTGTATATATATATATATATATATATATATATATATATATATATATATATATCTGTAATGGGTAGTAGCTAAATTAGTTAAAAACACTAGTTCGCATGTTTTGACACCTCTCTGTTTCATTTTGGCGGACCAGATGACATCATCAGTCACACAATGTGCCTCAAAGCCTAGTTCTTACACTTAGCAAATTATGTACATTACACAACAATCCTACTCATAAGTTATTTCCATTTCATAAATTTTTTTTTCGACCGTGTATGGAATTCCTCGTCAGTTCACATTCCTGACCTCATGAAGAACTGAAGTCAGTGCCTTTTGATTTTGTATCAAGCACGCTACTGTTCAGTTGTGTTATTAATATAGAGTGACATTCATTTCGTATTTGTCTGATATTCTGTCGCTTACTTTTTTCTACAATCAACTATTACTTGTAATATTTCTTTATAGTCGGTAGGGGTTATATTAATTTAGGACAAATGCATAATAGTTTCTGATGTGTTAATTCGATTAGATATTTCAAATATGAATAAATATGTTTATTTATTCGGTCTTCCAGCACAGCAAGAATATTTTGAGCATTTTCGTTGATAAATTAAAATAATAGGCCATCTTTCCTTTCTTACAGATTTGGTCAGTACGCTATCACCCTACACGAGACCAACTTGTTCTCTCTTCAGGAAGTGATGGTCGTGTTTGTCTATACAACTTACCTAGCTATTCGTCTGATGCTCTTCTTAGTATTGACATGAATCAACAATCGACTAATGGTCATAGTCAAATAGAATTTCAAGATGAACCTGATGACCATTCATCTTGTTCTCATGAAGGCGAAATTGACAGGTAGGCAGTTATAATTTTTCATGTATTGTTTTACCCTAACCATAGTTACCTTGAAGTGCTGGTCGAACTTGCCTATTGTGATGACCTAGTCGCTTTATATTGACCGGAGTAATTGTTCCTTCAGGTCCTGCCATTCCAGGTGGGTCAGTTGGGAAGGGTTAGACTAATGAGGGGGGGGGGTTGGAAAAGGATGGATTCAGATAGCTTGATTGACTTTTGCCAACTTATGGATTTGCTGACATATCCGCCTGTTAAGTAAACGAGACTATTGTTTAGTAGTTCGCTCTATCCTACTTCATGGTTATGAGACGTGGTCACTAAGTAGAGCATATTTGTAAAGTGCTCAATCATAGATGCATTCGAAACATTGCTCGTGCTCATCGTAAAACCACCGAGCGAGCGATGCTGGGTTTAGGTATAGGGTAATAGATAGGAAGTGGATTGATGAACTAGTCGATTTTTATCAACTGAGGTAGTTGGGAAATTATTACGTATGATTAACTTTCCTTTACTTCGACGAGCAATGATGTCTGGTGTAAGATTAGGTTGGAAGTAAGGTAAGGGTGGCTTAACCAGGATATAGTATCAGTCCATGAAGTCATTTACTATTTACTTGAACCCTGTTGGCAGGTCCAGAATACCTGGCGCGGTTATCGTAACCAAATGCTGGAGATGATAAACGACAAAGCAGAGTCAGATGCAATAGAGCAGACTTACTCACTGTACTTTCTATTAGATCTTTAGTCTTAAAACTATCTTATACTTTTATGTCCCACGAATTCGTTCTTATCGAATCATATTACTTATACCTAGTTGTTAGTACTGCTAATGATTCTGTTACCTCTTTGTTATAACGGTTGGTTTTCCAAGTTTACACGTATGAGACGTTAATTTACCTTAGACGAATATCTACACTAGATTTCCCCTCAGTGTCTATTCTATAGGACTTCAACACAACTCATCAAGAACACGTGGTTAGCCTGACTAGAATATATTTCCACACCAAGACCTGACACAATCCAACGACAATGAACAATCAATAATAATATTATAAGGATAGGGGAATATATCTCATCTGACACCTGTTAGACTAAGCAGACAACCATTCATTGTCATTCTCGCCCACACATCGCTCTTCTACCATTGAGACATTTGTTTTGATAATCCCACTTCGCTGTTTCGATATGTCGTGGAAACTTGAATAAATGCATATCTATGCCGGATTCCACATTGCTTCTGAATGAATAGAAGTATGTCTTAGTCATGTATCCTGTCTACTCTAGGCTTTAAGGTCTAGTTTAAAACGTCGAAAAACTGATGCCAGTTTCTGAAGTTACATGTGAGGTACTACAGTGTTGTTCTCAGTGATGTTTCGAATTGTAAATGAAACGACTACACTAATTTGACATTATAACCAGTTTTATATTACCTAGTTAGCATTTATAACATAAGATGATACATTGTGTTGTTACATAGCTTATCGTTAGCAATCCAAACATGAACTCGGTAGGATCCTGTTAACATTAGGGGCTACCTTGTTTATTAATGCAATAATACCTCTCCATTGCTGTAAATTTTATGAAAGCTAGTTTATATCGACGTATTTTCTTGACTGAAAATACTGATCCCACCGTATTGGAGAAAAATCACTCACTAGATACCTAAATTTAGTTGATAAAAGAAAAAAACTTCACTTATGAACCGAAACCTTTTAATTCACATAAATATCCCCTTTCAATGATATATTATTTTGCCGTTATGAATCATTGTATCATGTCATATTAGTTTACCTCGAATTGTATTTTCGTTGACCTACTTACTTAAGATAAAATCTGAAGCACGAAGAGATGACAAAAATTATTTTTTTCTTATTCCATATAGAAACGAAGACGGTTTGATCGCTCGTCTGGAACAACATGAAGAAAGTGTATATACAGCTGAGTGGAGTCCAGTAGATGCATGGTATTTCGCATCGATCAGTTATGATGGCAATTTTCTTATAAATCGTGTTCCAGATCAAATCAAATTAAATATTTTATTACAATCTAATGATTACTAAATTATTTGTTTTCTCTGCATCCTGGTATTGCTTTTATCGTTTTGCATTTTGTTTTTCTCATAACAATCCTTAATTAATTTGGCTGTGATAATTATTTGGTCAACTTTTGTATCAGTTTCACTAATAAATATGGATGTTTATTGACAAATAATTAGTTTTTTCTATCATTATTTATCAGAAATCTATAAGTCAGGGAAATTAAAAGTGTTCATCTTTTCCATTGTTATCATTATTCTTTATTTGAAACAGACTGAAAGAAAAAACCAATAGTCATGTTATCTAAATGTACATATTAAAGAGACAGTAAAATTCATACCATATATTGACGGTATCACTTTAAAATTTTCATTCTGACAAAGTCGGTAATAGGCTGAAGGTACACGAAGAAAACATTAGGGTACTTAATATGCTGTACTCATCGTAAGTTCCTTTTCATTTTTGTAATACAAAACCGAATTGTCAATAAAAAAATATACTAATTTAAGTGGCACGTTTTCTTTATATACATTTATTTGCTCAGAAAATTATGGAAATGCATTACAAAATCATCTGGTTTGTGGTAATAATGAAACGAAGAAGAATTTCTGACAAAATATTAATGGCGACAAAAGAATATAACAATGATAATGATAAAATAATCCCTATTTCAATCAGCATTTATGTTGTATTGTTACTGCTACTACTATTAGAATTATTATCATTATCACAATTTGTTATAGAGCTGTCAAATGAAGAAATGGTCGCCGGCCCGATTGATTCCATTGGACGGATCTTTTTAGTGCGGCCCCCACGAGGCTGAAAAAAATACATGGAGTGAAATAAGTTGTTATATTTTATAGTAGAGACCAACAGTTATTTCATTTTAGACTATTCCTGCTAACAGAAGAGCATCTATAAAAGTATTCTAAATAACTGGCCATCAGTAAACGGTTACTTGTACTAAATTGGCGTTTTAATTTTAACTACAAAATGTGTGGTTTTAAGCTAGAGAAATGGAACTTTCACATTCTTACTTCTGTCATAAAAATTAATTAATCGAGGACAACGAGAAATACTGGGAAAGCAGTGACAATCATAACTGATTTCGGACTATGAGTCAGTTTGCTATCTGATTGCCCAACAACATTCTAGAAGGAACTAGTACCTGGACGGTATCTACTTCATAACATTACACACAAAACCTATTGAAGAAACATAGTTGTGATTGAAGCTTACTTGTTCAGCCCAAGCCGCTTGACGTTTTCGTTCAAGTAAATCCTCATCAACAGTATTGATATCTGATGCGCCCTGAGGACGCGAAATTGATTTCGTAGAATTGCAACCACTTGATGATGATTGTCCAATTACATGTGCCTCAGCGTCTACATTTGAAATATTACTTACAGTTTCGGAGGTTATTAGTCTTTTGGATACTTGATTTTTAGCTGGACGACCACGTTGAGGTTGTAACCGTCTACGTATCTGAAGTCTAAATCAGAAAAATACATTAATTAATAATATCGTAATATGAAAATGGTCAAAAGTAAGTTAAATGAGTGTTTATTTCAAAAAAACTATAGAGACAAAACATTTCCTGTCAAATAATATGCATAGTCACATCTTAGACGGTGATAAGGCTTGGTGGGGAAAGTAGCGTCAATTGCGAGGAGATTGTGTCACTATGGCACCAAAGGTTTATTTGCATAGGATACCTTTCATGCTAGTATTGTAGTGAACACGATTGCGGAAAATAGAATGTATTTGACACAAAATTACAGGACTTGTTAATAAAATCTAACAGTCATGTAATAAATGCTTAATTTCCAAAATGTCCATCAATCGTCTCAAAACGATTCAGACTTCATTGCTCTTGCATTTTTATACAAATTGCGTTCTGTTTCCATTCTTTACTGTTCGATCCTCTTGTCTTTCTGCTGCCAGACATTCTGTTCGCGACCAACGTCATATACTACTTATGTCGATATAAGTAGCACCCCCCAGTATTTCTTACTACCATATTAGGTGCTTTGACAACCTACAATCAGTTTACAAGACATAAAGCAATGACTAGGGCATTTATGTTAAATTACCGTCTGCTAGTTCATCACGGCTGCATGAATGATCCTGAATTTGTGTAGCTTAGTCAATGAATTATCAGATATCGCTGAAACTTAATAGTAGTTATGTCCATATGGTGGTTTTTCGTATTTAACATGAAAAATTGAGATGAACATTGAAAGATATGAAATCTGTCGATGTGAATAATTAGCAAAAGTGTGAGTATTTAGAACTATCAAAGCTCAACTAACAGCCAACAATAAACTAACCGTTTTACCAGCTCGTCATCATCAAGTAACAAAGAAACCATATCAGATGAAGTCATATGTTCTGTGGGACTTGACGAATTTGTTACATTTGACAATAAATTGTTTAATCCTCCTTGACCTGATTGGATTACCATTTGTTGCATGGCTCGTTTCTCTTCTGCACGACGCAACATACGACCTTCCACTGTATTTTTACAAATAAGCCTATAAACTGTAACCTGAAATATAAAATCATAAGTAATAAATGAATAAACACTGATAACATTTCTTTATATTTGGTGATGCTATAAAGGACCAGATGAGAAATAATGATGACCCAACATTTCAATTGTTATTCTTAATTGATTTGATGCAATGAAGAGAAACAAAGACCGATTGGTTGATTTTAGACACCTTTTACTAAGCATTTGTTATTATTAAATTAGGTGAACATGCCACATAATAAATTAAGATGGATTTCCTTAGTATATCAAATCTCTCCATAGTTGATAAAATGGTTCTGAAAAGGAATTTTTAGTTTGCTCAGGCCAATATTATTTGACATCTAGTTTTCTGTCGTCAACTAAATTCATTTAAAAAAACCTTGGTTTCCATTAATCGACACTGGAATTTCTACATGGAGGGAATCCAAGACTTAATTCAGTCCTCAATAATTTCATCTTTCGCACAATGTTTTTTGTCTTAATGAATCTTCACAGAACAAAGTAGTCAACTCGAATACAAGAATAATTGAAAACGATGTCACCTATGGGGATAACCAATTACAATTAAGGCCACTGGAACAAATTTATCTAAAGCTCGCGGAATAACTTAAATGCTTACTTAATAAAGCAAGCGCTGATGACGTTATCTAGAACAACAGTGAAAGTTACCCAATTAAACCATATGGCTTAGGATTTTCACAACAGTAAAACATCTATCTGAGCTGTAAATGATCTTCATCATTTAAATATTGTGATAGTGATCTACATGAATTAGTTCTCTTTAAGTTAGATACTGATCCTTCGACACACTTTTTAAAAAATATTCATTCCGTTTAACATATTAAAAAAACCACGAGCGTAAAGATATGAAAGTATAAAAAAACATACAGGCTTTGTTTGACCTAGGCGATGTGCACGATCCATTGCTTGTTGATCTACAGTTGGATTCCAGTCAGAATCATAAAATATAACTGTATCAGCTGCAGTTAAATTAATACCAAGGCCACCAGCACGAGTTGACAATAAGAATACGAACCAACGCGGATTAGACTGCCATTGAGCAACCATATCTCTACGATCGGATAAACGTGATGAACCATCTAGTCGTAGATAAGCATGTTTACGATATAACATAAACTCCTAAATAAGTGATAAATGTAAAAATATAACGTCAGTAGTCAAAAAACAAGTCATAACGTTTGGGAGTGATGAAAAACACGGTAAATAGAAGCTTCATATACAAGATTTTATCAGCTGTGTGTGGAAATCGAATTGTCAAAAATGAAAGGATACGTCTATTTTCAACGGTAAATCAAACAAACTCATCACCTGTAGACAAAAATAGCGGGGAATTCTAACTCTTTTTGAAGAATTAGTTGTGGAATAATATACTGTCCATTGTAGATCAACTTATTTGTCAGAAATAGATACCGATAAAACTGAGCAACTAAATAAATAAACATTGGACTTATAAAATGAGGAAGGGAGAGAAAGATACTACCAAAAATGAGTAGACATATGAAAACGAAAATAGTTTATAATAGGAGGTCAAGTTCAATTAAAAATGCGACCAGAGAAGCTTCTTTCAGTTCCATCACCACGTACTTTCTTCAGAACTATTTTCAGAATGCCATCGGTGATAGGGTTGAAGAACCTCATTTTATGCCCTCACTTTACTCGGTGTTTGTGTAGAGTCTTCACGATGTTACTACACTTATCTATAAAATTGAATGGTATGAAAATACGGTCAATAAATCCACGGACTAATCGAAAATAACGTGCTCCCCGCGAATCATACTTCCACGGGTTTTGAACAATCAGTGAAGTACATCATGCTAAAGAGCATCAGGAAGAACGAAACAAGGATCGTGTTTGTCACTACTCGACGATTGTGTTAAAAAAGAATCCTCAAACTCACTTTGTGCTTAGGGCACAGATGGTTATTCCTGAACTCAATAAATTCTGTACAGAATGTGAAATACATTAATGGTGTAAAACTCTAGTTTGAATATATAAGTGTTGTAGTATACCAGCTTTCCAATGTTTCCTTAAATATCAAAGTACAAAATCCGCAGAAATGCTCCAAATAGACTAGTAGAGAATTCTCTACCGTGATTAGGGAAATACGTATAGACAAAAAGATCATAAAAACACTTTATCAACCCAGATACAATATCTGACCTCTTGAGACCGAAATAACAATAAATGATTAATTTTCTGAAAAAAAATCAAGTCAAACTCAATGGAACTAACCTCTAATATATCAATCATACGTGTCATTTGTGAATAAATTAATACACGATGTCCATTTGATTTCAATTCAGAAAGAAGGTTATCTAATGTGGTTAATTTACCGGAATCTGAAATGCGTGTAGCACGTGAAACAAGCTCTAGACTTCTAGGCAACGGGATGGTCACATTGTACGATAATGAATAAACATGTGATGTATCATAATTACACGTATTTACAAACGGTTTAAGCGGATTAATTAATACCTAAAACAAACAATTAAACAAACCCAAATTAGAATTTTCTTATATGTTGCACATAATAGGATGCCCTATATGAGTAAGCAAAAACAATACTGGATTTAAAAATCGTTTACTGAGTCGAAATTATATAAGTTTTGGGTATT